CTGCAGCAGGCGAGGTTGAATGAGAGCCATCTTGTCACTACATGGAATTCCATGTCACAGAATTGACAGAACTCCTTCAAATACTCTCTTCTTTGAGCAGAAGTGGAGAAGAAAGTGTAGATCATCAGAACAATAGTTTCCACATCCACTGACAGCTTATCCAGAGCTTTTTTTTCTCAGTGTTATGCACAACATGTGCATGGCATTTGCCACATAGAATGTCACTGTTGGCCTCTTGCAGTTTTGTAAAAACTGAGTTATGGGATGGCATAGTTAACATTTGCATTGTCAGCACTGAAAGCAGAAACATGATCCAATGTTAGGCCCTGATTTTTAAGAGCGCTTCGGATTGTTTGGGGTATTCCTTCTGTAGAACTCATCCAGATTTTGTTGAGAATGGGGTGTTGTTGACCACCCCATTCTCTTGAGTGAAATACTGTACGGCCAAGGGACACATCTTTTGGTTGCCCTTGTTAGAAGCATCTGTTTGGATAGAGAACAGCAGTGGATTTCCATCACTTGTCAATTTTTTGATCACCTCCTTCATTGCGTTTGGCGAAAGGACATTGATTACCACTGCCCCAGCTTTTGTCCTCCCACAAGACAACTTCTTTGCAATGCTGAAGTCATTCAATGTACAAACAGCCAGCTTGAGCACACAGTCAGCTGAATTGTAACTCAAACTGTGCTTCACAGTATGATATGGGATATGGGCTACCTCTGCAGCAGTCACCTTAAACAAAAAAAATATAAAATCTTACTGACTGTATTTTTTGTGTACTCTACTCTACTCTGCTATATTGTATAAGACAATCTGCTTCGTTCCCTCCCTGCACTGTTTTTAATCTGTGCTGAATAAATAAATACAAAAACAAATACTCAGTCTACCAATCATATATCAGTCTACCATCTATGTCTTTATCATCTGATAGCAATTATAATGCAATATTTTGGCCATCAAATGCAGAAATTCGCTGTACCCTCTAACATTAACCTTTCTTTTAACAATAAATACTCTTTCACACAAAATACCAGCCTCTGGGGATGCTTGGTGGACAACGAATCGATTGAGGTATCCTTTGTTTTTTTTGTCCCTCATGTTCTTTGTGTGTCCACTGCAAGATAAATGTTGTTTGATATCAAACAGTCCACCGTGGGCTACAGAAAAAGCCCATTTGCAGACAGTGCAGTGTGCTTTGTAGACATTATCTACCTTTTTCAGCCGTTCATGTTATTTTTTCCCAGTCGACTTTGTATTTTTGCAGCTATTTCTGCTTTTTGCGTGGGGGAGTGCTGCTCTTGGAATTACTTTGATCGCCGGTGTCCTCCATGCAGCAATGTTGTGTCTTCTTCCCAAACAACACTGAGGGCTCTATTTTCGTGCCTCGCCGGAGCCGCAGCGCGCAGCATAAGTCAGGTCCGACGCGCCGACAAGGCGTTCCCAAGAACAATTTGGTAGTTTGGTGAGCAGCGCAGCCCGGCATTCTACTTTTTAAAAATCTATCTTAAGCTGAGAGTACATGCTTTTATTTTGAAAAACACAAGTAATTTTCGGTAGATTAAAGGTTAGAAAATGAACTCAATAGAAAAAAACATGTTCTAAAAGTAAAACAGCTCTAAGGACGAGTAAAAAAAAAATATATATATATATACATATATATCAGTGGCGGCTGCTGGTCTTTCAAGGAGGGGAAGCTCATTTTTCTGGCCTACATCATAATTGTATTTGTTTATTAGTATGTAACAGAACAGAGTCGCCAAACACAATGGCAGTCGTTTTTAACAAAGACAAAAGTCGCTGAGGATCGGTAAAGTCTCCGGAGCAGTTAAGAACAACGGAATGAATAACTTGGAAAATGCTCTGGTAGAGGTTTTATTCTTCAAGATCGCTGATTCGCTTGTTTAGCTGTCAATCAAAAAAGGATTTCGCCTCAGACAGCTCATCCAATCATGGATGCAGAAGCTCGGAGTCCGGGTGAAAGTCGGGACCACCCTCTCGCCATAGAACTCCAGTGAAGCTGAGCTTCCGATGGGCGGGACAAAGCCCAGCATTTATCCAATGAGCGTCTAGTTTCGCTGCTGGAACAACCCACTTTGAGCTTCCACATTGAAGTCAGCAGAAGCCCAGCGTCCGGCTGTGTGAAGCACTGAGGCGATGCAAGGATGAAGGAGAACGGAGTTATGCCGGTTACCTGTGATGATCAGCTTCTTATCACAGTGTCTGAACAAAAGATGAAGGCTTTCTAGCGCGTATTTAGTTAATGAAATGTACACACAGTAGTACGTATTTCACTGCTTTTTCTTTTTTTTGGGGGGTGACATTTTAAGGGAAGCCGAGCTTACCTTGCAGTCTTAGAGCAATCGCCACTGATATATATATATACATATATATATATATATATATATATATATATATATATACATATATATATATATATACTGTATACACACATACATACATATATCACCCCAATTTTACTCTTATGGTAAAAAAATGTTTCTTAAACTCAGCTTGTCAAAATGTTGGAAACTTTTCTTTTGTTAATTTAGATATTGATCAATACATTATTTTTCGTAGGGGGTGTACTGATTTATGCTGGGCACTGTATCTACATTGATACACATCATTCGTTTAAAGACTCAAAGCTGCTATTGTGGAGGGGGAAATGTCTGGAGCTGGTCAACTGCAGGGTTATCGGTGGATGTATCAGTGGGTCATTCAGGGAGTTTTTGTGGTTTCTGAAGAAATGATGTAACTGATGATCAACATTTGTGGTCCAGAGGGAGTTGAGCTCTGACGAGCACCACTTCTCTGACACCGGCGGTAACCTACACCTGCAGAGACACCAACGCCTTATTATGGCACATGGATTCATATCATGAACTAAAGCCCAATGTCATTCACGGATATTTACGGCTGCATTGACAGATATATCCTCAGCATATCCATTTCTGCCTCCACAAAAGCAACGATTTCCTCCAAGTCCACCTGTTTGTTTTTCCCTGTGGAAAAGACGTATTTCTCATATATTCTTCCTCATAAGTCTTTAAACTTGTGACAGTGTAATGCTGATGTGCCAAAGGATGAAGTATCTCCTTGTTTGTGAAACCTATACTGAAGCACAGTTCCTTGCTCCATGGCCCCAATATTAACATCTCTCCTTTGAAATAACAGGTAACCTTACGACTTAATTCTCATAAATAAATGACTTTATTCTTGTAAATTCACGACTTTAATCCCCAAGTCTTTAAAAAAATTCTCTCAATGGCCCTCATATTCCTTCATACAAAACATGCAATCATTGGATGAATTTTGTTGAAATGATCTGTGCTTGTATGTATCTACTGTTTTATGTCTGTGCAAGGTGGTGACCTCATCCAGAGACTGATAGAAACGGTCCTTGACCTCATTCTCAGATGGCATACTTGGAGCATACACACTAAGAAGGGTGGCAAAGCGCTTCTTTGCAAGGGGAGTATGGAAGGACATCAGCCGTTCACTGATGCCGACAGGTGTTTCAGTCAGACTTGGTAGAAGGGTGTTCTTCACCGCCAGTCCCACACCATGCAGATGTTTTCCACCAGGAGGGAAACCTTTCCAGAAAAAAGTATATCCCATTCCTTCTTCCTTCAGGGAACCCTCATCCAGGAGCCTAGTTTCACTCAGGGCAGCAATATCGACGTTATAACGCCTCAGCTCAGCAGCAACTAGCGCTGTTCTGCGGCGGAGTCTGTCACAGTTGCCACTGAGATCCAGGAGGGTTCTCACATTCCATTTTGCCAGTTTCAGTATTGTTTGTTTTTTATTTCGACCGCAGTGTGGAATATCCCGACAGGCGCAGTGACCTGTCCAGGAGTGGTTCGAGTGGACAATGTTTGGGCCACCTTTTCCAGGCCCCTCCCCTATTGGGGTGAGCAGTGTGGTCCTAAATAGGGCTGCTCAGTCACACAAGGGTCTGCCGAGGACAGCTGCCACTCAATCCCAGCTGTTGGCGACCATAATAGCATTGTGCCGCTGACGTGTAGGGGTCCAGCTAGGAGCTTCCATTCAATTCAAACCTGCCCCCGTCACCGAACACCCCATCGCCACCAGGCTTATGGTTGGTTCCAGATGTTCTATCACCAGAGGGCAAGGTGGAGACCTGCGCAAAGAGGTTTTTTAAAGTGCCACAGGGAGTGCGCAATCCGCGATAGCACTTCTTGACTGTGGAAGGTGAATACCAGTGGCAAGGGAGGCCCAAGACGACTAGCACCCTCCCCCAGCTGCAGGCAGCTGCCGGTTCCTCAGTCTGTTGGTGTCCACCTGCGCGTGCTGCCACCACGTTGCTTTTCTCTCAGGGTGTGCTCCCCTAGCCTTTTGTCCTCCCAGGCTATCCCACAAGGCAGTGGGCGGGTCACGCTTTGTATGGAACCTCCCCCTCGACCTTACCGTCATGGGTGACCCTACCAGGAGCTTAAAGCCCCCGATGGCATTGCTCTCAGGTTCATTGGAACATGCAAGGCCCTCCACCACGACAAGGTGGTGACCCAGGGAGAATGAGGTCAAGGACCGTTTCTATCAGTCTCTGGATGAGGCACTCCGCCAGATCCCCAAGACAGACAAGATCCTCCTGCTTGGCGACTTCAATGCTCACGTCGGACGCGACAACAGAACATGGGGTGGAGTACTTGGTGGGCATGGTGTTGGCCAGGTCAATGCAAACGGCATGAGACTGCTTACTCTCTGTGCTGAGCACGACCTGAAAATAATAAATACACTGTTCCAGCGGAAGGATAAATAAAAACATCTTGGATGCATCCGCACTCAAAACATTGGCACCTGATCGATTACATCATTGTGAGGCATTGTGACATCAAAGACGTTCACATAACCCGGCCCATGAGAGGAGCAGAATGCTGGACAGACCACAGTATGATTGTTGCCAGACTCCACATCTCGGTGAAAACACCAACACTGTTTCGATGAGAACTCAGACTCCATCAGGAGCTTACTGAACGAAATGCATAAAGCACACAAGGCGACCTTAAACAACCCATCATCCACATCACTCAAGCAACAGTGGCAGGTAGCTCGAAGGGAAACCCAAAAACCTTGCGGACACTGCAAAATCAATGGTGGAAAGGTAAGGCCCATGAAAAACAAATGTATGCAGATAAAAATGACGAACAATTTCTACAATTCTACAAAAAACATCTATGGTCCCAAAAACTGCTCAGTTACACCACTGAAAACTGCAGATGGCCTCACACTCTTGAAGGACCAAAACTGGATCCTGCTGAGATGGGCTGAACATTTCGATGCCCTACTCAACCAACACTCTTCTACAGACCAAACCATTCTGGAAGAACTACCTGAACATCCAACCATTAATGACCTCAGTCAGCCACCAACCTTTATGGAGGTTCGAGCAGCTGTTCATGCATTAAAGAACAACAAGTCTCCTGGCATTGACAACATCCCAGCTGAACTCCTGAAGGAGGGAGGGTACCTCTGCACCAGGGCGCTCCATCAGTGCATACTGAGGGCCTGGGAAGATGAGTGCATCCCCCAACAGTGGAGGGATACGAATATTGTCGTCATCTACAAGAACGAGGGCGACAAGTCAATCTGTGGCAACAGCAGGGGAATCTCATTGCTCTCCACTGCTGGCAAGGTACTGGCCAAGGTGATGTTGCAGAGGCTCATTAATACCATCACAGAGAAAATACTGCCTGAGTCACAGTGCAGCTTTCAGAAGAACAGGAGTACAGTCAACATGATATTTACAACACGACAACTCCAGGAGACACCAAGACCTATTTATGGCCTTTATCGACCTCTCCAAGGCCTTTGACACTGTCAACAGGGAGCTCCTATGGAGCGTGCTTACCAAGTTTGGCTGCCCAGCTAAGTTTGTCAGCATCCTCCGTCAATTCCATGAGGGATGATGGCTCCTGTTACCATTGGAGGACAAGAGTCTGAATCTTTCCCTGTACGCACAGGGGTAAGACAGGGGTGTGTGCTGGCACCTGTGCTCTTTAATGTCTTCCTCCTGTGTGTCACCCATCTTCTTCATAAGGAGCTTGAGCATAGCAGTGGCGTTGCAGTGGATTTTAGACGGGACGGAAATCTTTAACATCCAGAGGCTACAAGCAAAAACTAAGCTATCCAGAGAGCGGGTCCTGGAGCTGCAGTATGCAGTTAACTGTGCTCTTGTGGCTCACTCTCCACAGGACCTTCAGTCCATCCTTGCTGTGATTGTTAAGGCCTACAGCAGGATGGGGCTGTCTGTCAACACCACCAAGACAGAAGTGGTCTGCCAATGGAGCTCCAGTACACCACACACACTGCCCAGCTTCACCATTGACAACACACCACTAGCAATAACCCCATCGTTTAAATACCTGGGCAGTATTCACTCTGAGGACGGCAGCATTGACAGTGAAATCCAAAACCGGATCAAGCAGGCATCAGCTGCTTTCGGGCTGTCTGCATCACCACCCTCCTCTACAGCTGTGAAGCATGGACCACATACAGCCGACACATCAAGGCCCTGGAGCGCCTCCAGCGGATCCTGGGCCTCACCTGGCGTGATCATGTGCCTCAGACCAAAGTACTTGCCAAGACCAACTGCAGGAGTATTGAGGCCATGATCACCCAGCACAAACTGCGCTGGCTCGGACACATGATCCGGATGTCCCATGACTGACTGCCCTGCAGAGTGCTGTATGGCTAGCTACACCACAGCCAGCACCTGGCAGGAGAATCAAAGAAACGCTACTTCACTAAAGAAGTGTAAGATCAGGCCTGAGGACCTTGAGACTGCTGCTTCTGACCATGACACATGGTGGCAGCGCTACTATGAGGGAACTCAGAGGCTGGAGGAGGACAGGACTGCCAGAAGACACCGAAAAAGACTCAGTAGAAACACACCCACACCCATGACTGCCAGTATCACCACCACTACAAGCTACTCATGTCCCACCTGCAATAGAATATGTGGCTCCAGGATTGGACTCTTTCGCCTACAACAAACTCACCGTTAAGGACATAAGTGGACGTCATCATCGGAGTCAATGGACAACCATAAGCATGTCTGTGCAAGGTCGCACAATTAAAAAATAAATGCTGCGCTCTGCGGCTTTTCTTCAAGTCAGTCGTGATGCAAGCCTGAGGGCGGGGACATTTGGCGACTTGACCAGGAAGTCCCCCGAAAGGTAGTCTGTCCCATTTCACAAAAACCAGAACATCTCACACAGGGTACTCCAGTCCACATCCACTGTCCGTGTTAACCTGTGACTGTATGCAGATGTCAGCGGTGTGTCAGGTGTACTGGTCCTTTTACTCACTCACTTACAGCATGGAGACTCTCCACATTTATCTTCAGTGGACTAAAAATATTTTAATTTCTAAGTCATCTGCAGGCTTCTGTTGCACAATGTATTCAAGTATCCCATCTCAATAAATGAGAATATATTCATTATTATTTGTTGAGGAGCACCTGTACTGTATGCTGTTAGCTTGCTTCTATGCAGCTCAAAGCTAGAACACTGCAGCAGCATGCCTCGATGTTGAATTTTGTGTGTGTTGTTGCAAAGTTTATTTCAGGGGTACAGTATATGAAACGGTGAGGAAATAAAAAAGCAGAGGAGATAAGAGTGTGCAACTTTCTTTATTTTGTTCAAATGATGCTTAGTCGGCACCTTGTCAAACTTGGGTGTGCTCCTCTTGTAAAAAGCCTACAGGTACAGTAAGAACCTCATTCAACTTTCACCCCTGTATTAGTGTACAGGTTTTCACAGGTTAGTCCACTGAAGATAAAATGTGGAGAGTCCACCTATCCATGCTTTAAGTGAGTGAGTAAAAGGACCTGACACACCGCTGACATCTGCATACATTCACAGGTTAACACGGACAGAGACTGCAGTGATTCTGTCTCCATGCCATGTATTTTTAAGGCATCTCACTGTGTTTATGGCCCTTTATTTGCAAAATATCCCAAATCCATCGATCGGTGATGAAAACAGTGAGGAGTTTAAAGTCTGCTGAAACGGATAGCTGTGAGCCGCGGTTTGATTTCATTCACGCTGACTACGATCAGTACGAGTGGTGACAGCAGACACTTTTCCACATTAAAGAAGGAAATATTTGTAATATATCTTCGTTAACACTATTAACTTATCTACTTATTTAAATCGTGGATCATAGTTGTGGAGACGTCCACACAAACATTGAATACAACCAACAAGCGAGGTGTATAGGTTGTTGCGAGATAACATAGGTAACATGGAGAGTACACCTGACCTCGCGCTGTATTTAAACGCATTCCACAAACTTTTTCACACTGCCTGTGGTACTGTGAGTACTACCCACGCACCTAATGATCACAAAGATGCCACTAAATAAGTGCTTCTCACAACGAAAAGGTTTGTTAAATTTCTCGCTCAGTGACGGCTATATTTTGGACAGGCATTTGCACGGTCACCAATTTTCGTCTTCTTATGTTTCGTGCTTTCAGCTTTATTTTTGACCCACTAAACTCATTCCCCCTAACATGCATGTCTCAAAGGCCCTATAAATTGATATTATCGGATTGACACACCGGCAAAAACAGAGACGATACAACTTCCGGGTCACGACAAACGTACAAATTAGATGATCAAAACAAAATCGGCCCATGGCCCGTAATTCAACTTCTGTTTATTTGATCTATATTAACTGACGGAATATTGGAAAACGAACAAATTTACATTTATTTGTTTTTTATTTTAAAAAGGGAAATAGGGAAAATGAACCATTTTTCAATGTTTTGTTATTGATTCTTGATTGAATATCAATTGAACAAATGATACACAGATTATTTTGTCTTGTTTATTTTGTTTGTTGTGTTTTTCTTATTTTGTTGGTTTGATTTGGTTTGGTTTTAATTCTGTTTTATTTTATGTTGTTTTTTGTTAGTTTTGTGTTGTATAATTGTTTTGTTTTGTTTTTGTTTGCTTTGTTTGTGTGTGTGTGTGTGTGTGTGTGTGTGTGTGTGTGTGTGTGTGTGTGTGTGTGTGTGTGTGTGTGTGTGTGTGCGTGCGTGTGTTACTTTTATGATGACTTTACAAGATAGTTGGCCTATTGTCTTTTGCCAGGCTTTTCTCTGCCCAGAATTTTCTCTGCCTATACAGGGGCTGATTCACTTTTTCCCATATGTTTTACTTTGACCTTCTGGACTTCAGTCAGTATGTTTGCTTCTATTTGTAGCTGTAATTCTATCTATAAAAGTTAAGCAATGTATCTTAATCAGTGACTCTTATAATAAGAAAGCCAGGACCAGCACTTGCAGGAAAGATTTGCACCTAGCTTGACATTGCTGCACCTCCTCATCCCAGCTCAGCAAATATTGTACAGGATGATCTGATCACTCTAGGTCAGCCTTGCATTTTCATTCATACCGGATTTTGGAACTCTGCTTTTTTGCAACAGCCGCTCTGCCCAATGTGCCACCCCCAACACCACCCTGCCTACACATACATAATCTCACATATTATTTTAATAGTTACTAAGTATTAACATCCCTGAGTTGAACTTGTGTCATCAGGGTCAACCTGAAAAAATAGGCATTCTTTAGATTCCTACAGTCTCCCTGAAATCTCTTGTCTAGGCTCACTTGTAAGTTTTACCAAAAGGATCTGAATACATCACAAAAACCTCTCCTGATAATGTGGCTGAGGATAAAGTGGTTGGTGAGTGTGTAATGAAAAAATCATACTGTAGAATAAGCCTGCAGCCTGTTCCAGAAAGTCTACTAAGTCATCAAGCCCTGGGAACTTGGGGACCAACCAATTGTGTATTAATCTATGTAGCCTGATAATAAAGAGTAGGCAATGAATGTGTCACTTAGACCAAAAACATCCGATTAACAGTACCGCCTACAATGGATAGGTCCTCTGCTGCCCCATCTGCCATTAGCTTGCCCTGCAAATCCAATTATGTTCTTATGCTCCCTGGTCTAAAAATAGCAGAAAATAAAGGAAAACCCAGGAACGACACGTCAGTTGAGCGAAGAGGGAAACAAATAATGTTATGGAGCTGATGATGTGAATTTTCTGTGGAGACCAGTAAAGTGTGGCGAGGAGACGAGGTATTAGTGACCTGCTGCCATGACGGACAGAGCCCGGACCAGGCAGAAGTGGTTGCAATGGCAGCAGGGTATGCATAAGAGGAAAACGGATTAGGTCTGAAGGAATTTAAGAAGAATCCCTTTCAGATAATCTATGAAATAAGGTAGGCCTCTTTCTGTGTGTCACAACCAAGTGATTGATTTTAGTCTGAGCTCTTTAAAAAAAGATGGTAGTTCCTCATATGTGTTGTTTTTTTCTGTGCTGGGGTAGATGGTGTTCATATGCTCTGCTGACATTTCAAAAGGGTGCTTTGAAACAATCCTGTGGACCTAACAATCCACACTGTGTGTAAGAGCCAGTTTACTGCCATTTTCTGGATAAGTGATACTGACAAACAGCAAAAAGTAAGAGGATATATAGATGGTAAATAACACTAAAAATAAGCTTTACTACGGGTTTAAACTACCTGCTTTAAATCCCCAAAACACTCTTAACAACATTAAAAACTGCTCCTTGGACCAGTTTTCATAACCAGGTCAAGGCAGCCTTTCTGGTATTTCAGATATAGTTTTATTGACCAAATTCATGGTTAATCGTGGGTATAATTATAGATTGTTGATTCATTTGGGGCATTGTGGTAGTAATAATAATGTACATAATGAACCATCATTAAGATGATCCCTGTCACATCCCAAAAGTAAAGTTTTATACTGAAATCAAAGGTGGCTGAGTTCCATTGAGCTGCTCCAGTTTCAGGGTATTCGTACTGTTCAAGCTGACTAATTATCACATTGCGTTGACTTATTGGGACACTTAATCAGGACAAAGCCATTGTTAATGTTATTAGTAACACATGTACTTTCCTACATTAGCAAGTCAAACGGCTTTGACTGATTGCATGGACACTTTGTCCAAGGTTATCTTGGTTGAATTCAATCAAAATACTCTGATACCTGGAATTCCATCATGCCACCTGACATGACACAGTATGCTTGTCTGCTGTCTGTCAGAGTTTTAATTCAGCCCCTGTGTCCTAAAAGTCACCCATTGGAAATTCCAGTTGTAGCAGCAGCAGCAGTGGTCATATTCCTCACTGAGTTCTGGTAGCAGTTTAAAAAAAATAAATGACAGAAATTCCAAAAAATCAACATCAACAGCCATCTTCTCTTTTTATGGATTAAGGCTCTAATTTACAATAGAATAAGATGATTATCAAAGGACAATTCCTTGAGGCCACGTTCTGTTAATCTGTTTTTAAACAAATAATTAACACCCTGCTTAAAGTTAATTCCTCAAAGTATTGAAATAAAACAGTTATTTAAAAGTTATTGAGAATCACCATTATGTTCTCCATTATATCCCTTACTCCATCATTCACCCTTCATCAGGATGGACTCACCTTCTGATTCAGGCTCTATCTGGAACAACTCTAACATCAAATGCAGTAAACCTACATCTACTGTCTTTGCTGTTTCAGATATGGATAGTTTACACTGTCACTGCTGCTTTTATTAATTATGGTATATTGCTGTATGTCTCAGCATATAAAGCCCCCTTTTTCTATTGTTTAGGATTTCTGACATTTTTTGTCCTTATCCAGGTATCACCAGAGTCTGTGACTCCACCCCTATCGGCAGGAGTGACAGGAATGAGCAAAGAGTGCTTCAGCTCATTATGTATTTTAGTTTTTACAACCTCTCTCCTGACTGCCTGGTGGTGTCAGGATGTGTGCATATATAACAAAATAAGAAGACATATCAAATCCTTTTCTCTGACCGGAGACTGACACTAACCCATGTTTTCTTACATAAATAAGCTGCATAGTCCTATTTAACTTTCAATGTAACCAGGGATTTTTTTCTTCTGATAGCAGATATGCTTTGATACTGACTTCATATTGTAGCAATGTTGTCACACCGGTACCCCTCCTTGTCCCA